GGTTTTTTTGGGTGGATTTTCTTTTCTTTCTCAAGTGACTTGTGACCATGACACATAACTTATTCTCATATTTGCAATGTGTAACCATGTTTTACATGTCCTTTCTGCAGACTACCAGCTCCTGCTTTGGTTGAATTTAATTTTAACACACCTCCCAAGCAGCATGGAAATGGTGATGGTGAAACTTAAACTACCTGTGTTAAACAAGACAGTTAAATATGCAGTTAAATACATGTTCAACAAGAAAAAATGATCAGTCTGATTCCAGTGGTATGAAAGACTGCTTTGGGCTCCTGGGCAAGAGGACAAGTTTTAAGAAAAACATCTGTATGGAGGTTTTTGTTTCTAAGGCTAGAGACTATTTGTGTGTTGGCTGAGTCTGGCTGCAAGTCCTTGTAAGAAAAGAAGCAAGCAATTACCTTCCTTTGATTAAAACCTTCTAGTTAGCTAGTCTAAAATAGCATGGAAATTTTTTTTAAAACCTTACTCCACTGAAGGATGAAAAGCGGTTTTCCACTGAAAACACTGACAATAAGCAGCCTTTGTAACCATAAAAGCTTAAGGAAAATTCTTTAACCAACTCCATGTAAAAATAGTTATTCTGCTTCCCCTTAGACTTCTGATCATTCCCTTCTTTTCTGTTTCTTCCTTGTATTTCCAGTGGGCATAAAGTAGTTAGTAGCAAATGACAATATTAGGCTTTCCCATTTCTTGCAGCAATAAAAACCTCTGCAAAATACAAGATATAAAATGAAACTTACCCTGGACTTGTGCTGGAAATTCAAACATAGAGACTCAGATCAAATGCAAGACCACCAAGAAATACAAAAGTCCGTGTAGTTATTTCAGAAGGTGAAGACTATCGTTTTAAGTTTCAGCTATACACATGAACATACAGTGAAACAAGTGCCCATGTAAAATGGCCAATGAACAGTGATCTTTAAATCACTCCAAGTTCCTGCTTCTCTTTGAAGAAACAGGTTTCTTCCTATGCTTTTTGGGACTGGTCCCCAGCTGATGATGGGATAGGTTTAAGTTCTTTTTTCAGAAGTTTCTGCATTCTATATTCTGGTATAAATCACTCATGTCTTATTACACCATGACCTACCTTTCTTGGGTAGCTGGACCCATTTTTAAGATTTTGGAGGATCACTATTGTCAATATTGTTCTCTGCATCTTGATTCTCTAGGTTTTTAGCACCCAACTGCTTATACAGATGCATTTAGGAGTTCGAAATTGCCGTGCTATTCAGTAGTTTTGAAACCTTTTTTGCATCACGGTAAAAAGCTACAGCTTTTGCTAAGGCTGTCCTTCATCTGCTACAGCTGAATTGAGATACTGAGCATTTTCTCTTTTGGGTCATCCACACGTCTGCACATTTGAAGTGCTGCAGGAAAAACACACTCAATAAGCAGGATCCACAGGGCTGATCTCACACAAAGATCTGGTCAGCGTTTTGAGCTGCAGGTAACTGCCACTGGGAACCATCCAGATGGATACCCACTGGTGCTCTGCTGACCTCTCCCTGTCCCTGGAAACAGCTGCCCCAGATTCCCTCCACTTCTATGTCCTACTGCTTTTCTTATAAAAGATCCCAAAGACAAACTTTGCCACAGTTTCTTTGAGAAAGAAACACCTTCTCCTTTATTGTTCATACATGGATTTTGAAACTGATTTTTCAACCCATATACATGCAGACACCTAGCCAGACTTCCTTCTTTTATTTCTAATTTCAGCAGCACTGATTAAAAGCTGTGGCTTCTTCAGTCCTCTCTTTTACCCTTGTAATACTTTACACCTCTCACTAAACCCTTGTTTTCATTCCCCTCAGACCTGTATAGGCCAGTTACCAAAGAGGATTCAAAAATGTCCATCAGTATCTCAGACTGACAATTGCATTTAATTATCTCTGACCCCTTCCAGCCACAGATGTTTAGAATTACAGTTCAGGAATTGAACAAGGTTGTCTGCAGGTGCCTTAGAGATAACCAGAAGTGCTATAACTGACTTTCAAAAGGATAGTTCAAATAAGCAGCCAAACTAAGCATGAGTCCTGAACCAATTGAAGTTTGCCTCTCTTGCTAGTGTTATGGACTATAATTCTCCACATTTCTGGAGTGCCTTCTACTTTAGGTAGCATGACAACTTAAAGACACTTAATTGGCTCTCAACATGCCTTTCACGAGTATTACTTCCAATTCAATAACTAAGAAAAGTGCAGCATAAAACATGAAGCCATTGTTCAAGTGCATGGCCATAAAGAGAAATTGCTGAAACGGCTCTTCCCATTTATGAAAAGTACAGTTCTGTACCAGTTATTGTTGGTTTGTGTGTGTTTTTTAATTCATAAATGAATCAACAGCATTAAAAATGGTGGAATTTTATTTTAGCGACTATCAATAGATATGGGCTTTGTCTTACCAAGGGAAGTTGAAGAGAAGGGCAAGTTGTCAAGTTTTCCAACTGCATGTCACTATTTCTCAGAGATGCTAAGTTAAATCCATCACTTTCCAGAGATGTCACTTCAAAGGTAGTTACAGACATTCCCTCAGAAACTACAGGATTTAGTGCCTATGAAAAAGGAAAGGGTGGGGGAACCTCACAACCAGCAAACAATCAACTGAAACTAGGTCCTGTTATGACATACGAAATGTGCTCCATATAAGTAACTATTTACAACTATTCCAAACCTGCACAAATAAGATGACCACTCCCAAAACAGTCTTTGTGGAATATTAAATTACTAAAAATACAAAGGTTATTTCAGTGAGTGCTGTGTTCATCAAGAAACCCAATTAGCCTAAGGGCTTCATGCAAGAGAAGTATCTTTGCTTCTTCCCCTGGGGGAAAGGGTAGCTTCTCCTACACATGTTGTTCCTAGAAAGCCATGTTTTTACTTCAGGAGTAGTGTTGGTCCCCATTGTGAGCCACTGTGCAAGCCTGGGAGCTGATCATGCCTCCCCACATGCTCAGCAATGGCAACTTCCTCTCTCCTTCAATCAAAACAGGGAAAAGGAAGACGTGTATCCTGTCAAAAAGGCAGTGAATTTGCCGAGTTCACACAAGCAGGGAATGTAAAGAAACGTTTCCAATGGTCCAGCTAGCACCATAACAGTAGCAGTGATGCTGCAGGAGAACTAACTCAGAGAATTCTCTGTCAGAGTAGTCAATGCACTGGTGGCCTTCAAGCAATCCATCTTGCTGCTGTCAGTGGAACTGCACCTGAATTTCAATTTCAGAGCTGAAAAAATGCTTAACAAGTTATTCAGTTTTAATTACTCCTTATTTGCCATATTTTATATTTTATTTGCATAAGAATGTTGTTTTATCTTAAAACATTAGTTTTATCATAAAACTAATGACAAAACCATTAAACCACTTTCCTTCTTGTCTAGGTTTAGCACAGCTTAATGCCTCTGCATTCTAGTTTTTCAATTGTTTCCCTGTAGCATTTATGACTACCTCACTCTGGTATTGTTCCTCTTGTTCCTCTCCTGGTTGGTTTAATTTGTTCATACTGTGATTTAGAAACAAAGATATCGATGACATTGAACAGGGAAACACACAAACACACAGCTCCAACTCTGTCTTCCAGGTAACATCTAACACTTTCTGATGGTTTTCACAACTCTATCAGAAGAAAAGATGCACAAAACACACCTAAGATAGTTCATGTAATGCTTTATGAATTGCTTTACAACTCTCTAAAACTTGATCTTAATTCATCTACCTAAGAGAAAGACTGGACCTCACCACTGAGAGATTGAAAAAAATAAAGTGCTCAGGGAAGATTTACATGAGGACGAGGAGGCTACCCTAAAAAAGTGTCCAAAAGAACATTTAGACTGCATCTGATCCATCCTCTGGAGAGGAATAAGGCCACAGCTCTTCCAAAGACAGTTCCAAAAGGATTTACATACAGGCATCACTGCGAGCTTTGAAACTAGAATCTGCTGTTCATGTGTGCTCTACTGCTCCACTTCTTTGAAAAGGAGTTTCACAAGTCTGTTGCAGCACCTTATCAAAAGCCTCATTTCCTTTGAGAAATTGACTGGGTTCATTGAATTGTCTCAGCAAAGGGTCCAGAATGTTAGCATGATGTCCTCTAACAGCAAACATTTAACATATGAAGACAAATGTAAAAAGACAAGCAGTTCAGAAGAATTCATTGAAAGAAAAAAAATTTCTCGGCATAGGCACATATACACATATGGTAACATATGTAAGATGAGTTTTGTCACTATACAGTGGTTGAAGAAGACTCTGCTACAGTGTTTACTCACAGAGAAACAGCACAGCTCTCAGTGAGGAGGAGTGTTTCCAACTTAAATGGAGCAGCTCCAGTGCAGAGGTCCTGCCTGCATGGAAGTATTGATAAACTAACCACAAAAATCTAACCACAGCTAAACAAGTGTTATTTGACCAACTGCCACCTGACACTCTGTACATGCCTTTATACAGTCAAGTCCCTGGAAATGAAACACAAGAGTATTATTTAGCCAAAAATGGACTCACTGTTCCAAACAACTCAAATGCCTGTGGAGTCCCTTCCAAGCTTAAGAGCCTGAAGTCATGCAGGGGCTCCCTGAAGCTGCATTTATCTGGTCACACACATCTAGATGACAGCACTGCTGTTCTCATTAGGATGACAACTTCTGGTACTGACAAGTGACTCTTGAAATGTTATTCCTTGCTGAAGCAGTTTTGAATGTTAGAGAGAGAAAAACATTGGGATATTCTCAGTAGAATAATCAGCTTTTTTTTTTTTAATTGAAAATTCACATATACAGCCTGTGGTACTCTGTGCAAATGGATGCAAACAAAGAACTTCATATAATACAGTGCCTTTTGGACTGATCTCACAGTTACTTCCATACACACCAGCATGAATTGCTCAGTGCAATTGTTCCCATGTCTGTTTTTGACACTGGATTAAAAACAAAGACAATCCAGCCTGAGCCTTTTTATTTTTCAGAGGCACCAAAGCAGGCTTCCTTGGTCACTCTGTCTTGAGACGGAGAGCCTCCCGCCGCTGCTTCTGAACAGTCCTGGAATCTTCCCACAGACTGGGTCCTCTGATGTTCTCCCAGTTATTCAGGTCAGACTTTTCCAGCTTCTGCAAACAGCAAAAATAACAGTGTTACCTTGACAGACCCATGATTTAAATTACATATGATTCTAATTTGTTTCCTTTTGCACAAGAAATTCAGTATCACCACTGAGTTGATGAACTTTCATCTATTCTGCATGAAAAGTTCAACAAGAAGGAAAATAATCTAGTAGCTATCAATATAGTCACATAAATGACTAGGATGGGCATTACTGCATCTGCTTATCAACAGATAAACAACACTTGAGGACGGGAAGCACTGCAGTGTCTGAACACAACTAAACATATCTTGTATTGACTTCTCTCATCTTGTTTTCCAGATCTGCTCTTCAGCTGCAAGTGTGCCAAGCACCAAAGTAGTAGGTGCAATAAGCATTGGTATAGCTCAAACAGAAGATTAGTAATTAGTGACGTGATGTATCCTGTCAACACAAATACAATGCATGCTGGAAGATTAATTATCTAGCACAGAGACAGCAACAGTGCAAACCCCTTCAATCCATGTGGTTTTAACTTGAGATAGGTATGCAATGCGTTCTGCTGACTAGTTTCTCATGGTACTCAGCCATCACTGATAGGTCTCTTACTAAGTCATATATGAGATGTGCTGATTGAACTGTCAGATACTTAAAAACTATCTAGATTTTAATTACCTCCTTGCTTATTCTTATCATTCACACTCAGAAGTACCAATGCGTGCAGTATTTATCCAGACTTAGAGGAGCACAAAACCAAAGAACAGGTGCCCTCCTGACCTCATCTACCAAGTGCTGCACTTGAAGAACACAAACATATATTGCATCTTCATAGTCCTACTCACAGAGGCATAGAAGTCCCTTCCCAGCAGACATAGACCTCAAGTCTCACATACCAACCTGTGGAACAGTACAGTCAACACAATGGGGAGACTGAGGAGAGTGTCTGCACCACTGCCAGAATCTGGGCTGTGCTACATGCTACTGAACAGGGCAACACTGCATACCACTAATGTTAAGTACTGCAGTGGGATTTAAACCTCTGATTTGTGATCCTAGCAAATGCTGCAAAAATATACCAGAAAACACTTAACCCTGCCCTGAGCCTGTGGTTTCATTTGCCTACTATCAATCATTCAAATAAATGGTAAACACTGAGGGACTTGAATAATGGTTGCAGAATAATTCAACAGCTATAACAGAACAGACCTGCTGCTATTAGTTCATGTTATGTAGAAGTTTTCTGCCACTTCTACAACTGAGGAAATTGCAATGAGGTTAGTCATATATCAAAAGATATTAGGCAACACTCTACAGAAGACAGATGAGAACACAAGCACGAACACAGCAGACTTTCACAAGGTAGAAGCAACTGCATTTTTTGAAGAATTGTCTTTACTACTTTATACATCTTATGCTTAGTTGGTATTTCATTTCAACTGGCAGTATCTGAGCTGACATGGAAGGAGGGAAAAAGAGGAAAGGTACTCATCATCCCACGCTACAGTGACTATCCCCTCTGATTGCAAATTCAGAATTTAACATCTGATTCTAATGGAAGATTCAAGGAAACTACACTGAAAATAACCTTGTGCTTTAACAGAAGTGAAGGATGCTGATTTTATTAAACACAAAGGTACCACACAGCTATGAGGATCTAAACTATTCCCAAAGGTGTTCAGCTCTCGAAGTCTGAACAAGAATCAACTTTTAAAATATGTACAACAAAAACTTGTAGTATCTAAAGAGAGACTACATAAAGAAGACTATCAAAACAGACATGCATACTGGAGATCTTTACCAAAAGTTCACATTAATTTCCCCCTGAAACTTTACAAAGTCTTTTTGGAGAGGAGGTTTGTCCAAAACAGGAAGTATTTCATAATTATACTATAAAAAAAAGCCAGTAAAATAAAGTATTTTGGCAGTTTCCAATGGAAATCGTAAAGGTACCTAGAAAACACAGGGTGATATACTGACAGAATAAAGCAACCAAAGGTTATTACAGTGAATACTACCTGAAATGACAGGTAAGATATATTGATTGATTAAAATATAAAGAAATAAATATTTTAATGCATAGAGAGACTATATTTTTATTCTAATTATGTTTATAGAGATCATTAATATTTTGCATCATGTGTAAACACTGTGTTTGATATCTTACAGGAATTCAAGAAGAAAGCACCTTCCTACTGGCAACAATTAGTAGCATTGTCATCAGAAGGCAGAATGATTAGACATTCCAATTTTCTGAACTGATGCTATCTAATTTTGCAATAACAGAGGACTCCTGTTGCATGTGCATAAGCATAAGGAGGAATATCACCACTGAAAGAGGACCTTAAAAGAGCTCTATATTATATAGCTGTTTTCACACACATAGCTCAAATGGGGCCATGTTCTGGATCTGTGCTGAAAACAGTGCTGGTAACACAGGATGTTTTGGTTACTGCTGAGCAATGCTCACCAGTGCTAAGGCCTTTGCTGCTTCTCACTCCATCCCACCTGCCAGTGGGCTGGGGGTGAACAAAAGGGGACACAGCTGGGACAGCTGACCCTAACTGACCTCAGGGATATTCCATACCATACGGCACCATGCTTAGCATATAAAGCTGGTGAAACAAGAAGGAAGAGAGGGACATTCAGAGTGATGGAGTTTTGTCTTTCAAAGCAATGTGATGGATCCCTGCTCTCCTGGAGATGGATGAACACCTGCCTGCCCATGGGAATTCTTTGTTTTGCTTTGCTTGCACCCATGACTTCTGCTTTACCTATTAAATTTGTTTTATCTCGACCCATGAGTTTTCTCACTTTTAGCCTCCCAATTCTCTCCCCCATCCCATTGTGGGGGGAATGAGTGAGCAGCTCTGTGGTGCTTAGTTGTTGGCTAGGGTTAAACCAGCACAGTACCTCACATACACCTGAACACAACCTAACCCTTTTTGCTTGGTCACTGACATGAAAATTCTTACAACAGTATCACCCCAGAAAAAGTGGGTACCTTAGATGTAGCCAAAGCCATGTACATATAGCTACATTTTGAATTCATCTTAGTGCTGAGAGTAAGATCAAATTGACAGTCCTTCTACCAATTAGGTGCAGCACAAGCTGCAAAGTTGCACAGCTCCTTCAGATTGCCTGAGCTGGACAGTGAGAATTCAGGCACGCAAGTAGTTCTGCTCTCAGATTAAGTCAATCTCTCATTCTATCTGCCTGGGTATTTTTAATTTCTTTTTTCTTTTTTTTTTTTTTCATTTTAGCCACCTGGACTCTGCTTACCTAACTGTATGAAGATATCACACAAAGATGGGTAATGGATATAAATTGAAAGTGATGGGTATAAATTGAAAGAGAGGAAATTTAGATTAGATATTAGGAGGAAGTTTTTTTATGTGAGGGTGGTAAGACACTGGCACAGGCTGTCCAGGGACACCCCAACCCTGGCAGTGTTCAAAGCCAGGCTAGATGAGGCCATGAGTAACGTGCCCTAGAGGGAGGTGTCCCTGCCCATGGCAGGGGGGGCTGGGACTAGATGATGTCTAAGGTCCATTCCAACCCCTTAACATACTATGATACTTTGATACAAAAAAAAGAGATGGTAAAATACTTTCAGCTTTTACTAAATTGAAATTCATATGAAGTGGAAGTCTACAAACCAAAAAGCTTTTTCTCTCACTTCAAATGTACTAAATAGTCAATCATTGGAGACTAGAAAGAAATGTAATCAGATCAGATCAGCACCACTTTTCCTGCCTGTCTCAAATAGCCCAAAGGATATTGAAAATTAGCTGTTTAAAGTAAGATCAGTATAGTCCATTAAATCTACTGATTCACTTCCTAAATCAGCTAAACTGCTTCTTAAGAGTACAGGACCAACAGAAGCTGTAAACTAAAAAATAAAAAGAAATGCAGCTATGCAGACAGGCACAGTGGGAAAAAAATATGTTCAACTGTTTGCCACACTTGACTTTTAAGACAGTTAAACAGCTTTCCTGGCACCAAGTTACCCATAAGAACATAAAGAGACCTCCACTTCTTAATTTCTGGTTCAAATGCCTTGCTGAAGTAAAAGTCATATCCACTGTCAGCCTTAAAATAAAATCAAATTTTAGAAAGAGTTTGAATTCTACTCTTGCAGGATAGTCTCCATGCCACGATACACAAACTGAAGTCTGGAGCCCACAAAACCCTCCTGACACCACAGAAAAGATTTATTTCAAACATGTTCCTAGGACTATGAATACTTGGAAGTGTGGACAATTTTTTTACTTTCTGTATATAAAATCTGGCACAGAATGTCCTTCTAATAAAGATAAAAACATACTCTAATAAAAAAAGAATGAGGTGTACCAGGATCAAAAAATATTAGACCCATGAGTCACACATGGTGTTTTTCCTTCTGAAGAGATCTGAAAAACAAGGTTTTACAGGTTTCTTATGTGAGAGGAAAAAACTGTGATGAATACTACAGTGAGGGGCTAAAAGATTACCACAACAAGAAATGATCAGTTACCATTATGAAATTACCAACAGAAGTGTGTGGGCATAAGAAAAGAAACAACTAGAGAAGGTTTACAACAACAGTGTCAAATTAGACTTAAATCTAGGCCATTAAGTAACTACCTTCAAGTAACCACACTCCTTCAAATCAGCAGTCAACCTTACTAAGCAATCAACCCTTCTGAACTGGTGAGTGAAATCTACCTCTCACGTGCTCCCCCTCTGGTCTCAGTTCACGTAACACTCATGCAGAGTTACCGTAGTTTAGGACTTGTTTCTCATCTCCACTTTCCTGCTAATTTTCCACTCATCTCTCTTCCAGAACCTGCTTATGAATTTATATGCTGAAAAAGAATACTTTTCTCTGTGGGGAATCTATGGTTTTGGCTAAAAGTTAACAGAGCAACTTCAAACCTTCCAGCCACAAAGAGTTTTTTAGTAACATCAGTGGCTACTGCTTGATTTGTGGTCTTGGGCAAATTTCTCATAGCAAAAAAAATCCTCCTGTTTCTTCTCTGTGGCTAACAT